GCTATGTTGCCCTTTCCCAGGTACCTTATTGCCAGGCAGGGCCAATTAGATGGTGACTATAGACAATGAGTGATGGACAGATTCAAAAGAAGGAAGATTCACTTCTTGGAGTGTATGTTGGGGAGGAAAGAGGGTAGAAACTAAGGAAGACTTCGTTTATGAGGCAGCCTGACAGAATGGTAAACTGAGGCTGAGCAAGGTGAAATGACTTACCCAGTGTCACATAGCTAGGAAGTATCTGGGGCTGATTTAAACTCAAGTCATCCCAATCCCATGTCCTGCACCACCTAGTTGCCCAATTAACAAGCATTCTTTAAGTGTCTACTATGTGTCAGATCTGGTTCTGGGTAATGCCTGCACTTAGCTGTTGTTATTATTAAGGAGGTAGGATTCAAGATGAGCCTTAAAGGATGAATTTTAGTACATGGCAATGTCAGTTACTTCAGTAACTTCAGTAGACAACGGTGGGGGAAGGGGCATTTCAAACATGATGAAAATAGAGGTGAGAAGGCAGGAAAGGAATGTGGGAGGGAGAGCAAGTAGATCTGCCTGGTTTGGACATAGGAGATATTTTGGAAAGTAGTAGAAGAGAAAGTTGGCACCTCAAACCCAGCAAATTGGCAAAGAAGATAAAAGATGGGGATATTCAATGTTGGAGGGGTTGTGGAAAGACAGGCACACTAATGCATTTTTGGTGGAGCTATGAATTGGTATAACCATTTTGGAAAGCAACTTGGAATCATGCAAATAAAGTGACTAAAATGTCTATATCCTTGGACCCAGAGATTCTATTGTAAGAAATATACCTTGAGGATGTCTTTGATTAGAAGAAAGCCCCATGTAAAATAAAAATATTTATAGCAGCACTTTTTGTGGTAGCAAAGAACTGAAAATAAAGAAGATTGGGGAATAGCTAAACAAGTTGGGTGTAATGGATGTAATGGAATATTACTGAGCTATAAAAAATAATGCATGTGATGAATAGAGAAACATGGAAGATCTACATGAACTGATGCAGAGTAAAGTCAGCAGAACCAGGAAAACAATAGACACAATAACTACAACAACGTATCAATAGAAAGTGACAGTTGTAGAATTACAAAGAAGCAACATGGCCCCAAAGGGACCTCAAAGAAAAGTTTCCTCCTCTGACTCCTTTGCAGATCTGGGAAGACCATGGGTGTGAAATGTCGCATATATTTTCAAACTTTTTTATGTATTCATCAATTTTGGTGGTTTTTTTCTTATCTATTTAATAAAATATTTCTTGGATGAAAGAAAACTAGAAAAAATTCAGTCAGTGTCAAACAAAAAAAATCAATAACCATTAAAAACAAAAAGATCAAGAGAAGGTTGGGAGGAGGTTCTGAAGAGTCTTGGATGCCACATTGAGAAGTCTGGACTTCATTCCATTACCAGTGGTGAGCCATTCAATAGCCATTAGCAGGGAACATTGATATCATCATAATATAATTAGGGAAAGATTAACCTGGCCTCTGTGGGGGCCATTGACTTTGGATGAAGATCAGCTTGGGCTTTCTCTGCATAGCAGCCCAGTTCTAAGAGAAAAGGAGTGGTAGGAGACAAGCCACTAAGTCAGTGCCTGGCCCAGACTCTAGATCTGCATGTGTCTGTTCTCTGGGGTGGCTTATGGTCTCGTGTCAACAGCAGGCTCTCCCCACCTCCCATCAGGAGGGTACTTCATGCAGAGGACACAGTCTTGAAGAGAAAATCACAAATCACAGCAGTTGATGCCAAGAGGCAGTTGGCTGTGGGGTCCAGCAGCAGAACTCAGAGCCAAGTGTGATGACTGATTGGCTGTGGATCTGGGGTGATAGATTGGGAGAAGGAAGAAAGCAGATCCATAGTCTACCACAGCCTGGAGCTTCAGCCCAAAAAAGTGATCTCATTTCATAGAGAAGCACTTGCACTGAGTTTTACAGATTTTTAGAATCTGAGGCCCAATTAAGACCTGGCACCTTGTATGTTAATCAAGGGTGTTGGGTGGTTTCTTTTTTTTTTCCTTAATCTTTCTCCAACCAATTCTTAACTCACCCTGATGAGGATGTTTTAACCATTGTAATGGGAGCTGCCCGATTGGGAAGATGGCCTGGAAGTCGCACCTCAGCGCTCACAAGGGAGGTACTTTGGGTAGACTTGAAGCCTTTCCAGGTGACTGTAGGGCTCCCAACAGGGCTGTAATTACAAAGAAGACCTCATCCAAACAATCATGCCAGGCTGGCATTAGGAGGCAAACTAGGGAAGGCTGTTCTGAGAGCTTCTTTAGGGAGTTGGGAGATAGATGGGTAGAGGAATAGATGGGTGGGTGGGGTAATGGGTAGATAGGGAGAATCTTTCCTGGCCATCTTCCAGGGAAATGGAGGCAAGGGTACAAGAGGCTGGGACTAGTACTATCTGTGTGCAAGGATGCAATCCTCACCCTATTTCCAATGACATAGAGCAGATAATGACACTGTGGTCAGCACCCAGGCGCTGTGGACTTCCTGCCAACATGCCTCAGTGATAGCTCATCTCTTCTGTTGTGTCAATTGGTGGAGAACTGGCCAGAAACCCCTAGGGACCTGTCCTTCCTTTCCCCCTCCAGTCATTCATTTGTTCATCTAACAAGCACTTTGAAGACATCTTCCCTGCAGCTCTGAAGAGGTGGGAGGCCATGGGTGTGGAACATAATATAGTATCATGCTTTTCTAGCTTATTAATTTTGCTGAACTTTTTCTACCTTAAATTTTTTTTTTATTATAAGGGATGGGAAGGGGTGGGGGCAAGTGACATAAACAATTTTAACAATCACTTATGGAGTATCTACTGATGTGCCAGGTACTTGCTATGCACTGGGGATACAAAGACCAAAAAAAAAGGAAGGAAGGAAGGAAGAAAAGAAGGGAGGAATGAAGGAAAGAAAGAAGGGAGGAAGAAAAGAAGGAAGCAAAGAATAAAGCAAAGAAAGTAAAGAAGGAAAGAAGGGAGAAAAAAGAAGGGAGGGATGGAGGAAGGAAGGAAGGAAGTAAAGAAAGAGGGAAGGAAGAAAAAAGAGAAGGATGGAAAGAAGGGATGAAGGAAGGAAGAAAGAGAAGGAAGAAAATGGAGGAAAGAAAGGAGGAAGAAAGGAAGAGAGGAAGGAAGAGAGGGAAGAAGGAAGGCAGGAAGGAAGGAGAAAAGAAGGGAGGAAAGAAAGAAAAAGAAAAAAGGAAAGAAGGAAGGAAGAAAAAAGGGAGGAAGAGAGGGAGGAAGGAAGGGAAGAAGGAAAAGAGGAAGGAAAGAGAAATAGTCCCTTCCCTCAAGTAACTTAATTCTTTTTTGGGGAACCAGCATATGTAACAATGTGAGTCAATACATATTAGATACAAACTAACTTCGGAGGGTGAGGAGGGGTGGGGATGACTAAAGTACATGTAATGCAGTAATTCACCCTTGAAGAAGGCCTTGAAGGAAGCTGGATATTCCAAGATGCAGAGACAGCAGGGGGCGGGTTCTAGGCATGGGGGAACCAGGCTGTGTGAGTATTCAGAGATGGGATTGGGATGTTATGTGTGAGGAACAGGAATTAGCCTCCTTTGGCTGGAACCTAGGGTATGCGAAGCCTGGAAAGGTAGACTGGTACCAGATGGTGAAGGACTTTAAAATCCAAACGGAGGAACTTGCTTCTAATCAGCAGGGAACCATTGGAGCTTCCTGAACGAGAGCATGACATGCTGACACCTGTGACTTCAGCATCTCAATATCTCTCTTGTTTCCAAGCTCAGTCCCAGCTGATTCTGGGGGATGCATCTGGGGACCTAGAAGAAGGCACCACCAATGCTCAGGGTGGTTCCCACTGGCGGTCCCCATCTCCTCCTGGGCCCCAGGCTCCTTGGCTCGCCTTCTGCTGACAACCTTAACAAAGGGCCCGAATTCAAAACTGCTGATGACAAGTCTTTCAGCCTCAACTCAAGGGCCACCTCCTACCAGAAGCCTTTCTGGATTCCCCAGTCATTAATACTCCTCACTCCTCCCAACAATTAGTTTTCTGTGTATTTGTTGGTTTTCCCAGTATTTCTTGAGGGCAAGGACTCTTTCATCTGTGTCTTTATCCCCAGAACCTCAGAGAGTGCCAAATGCTTATTAAAGGTTCATCGAATTGGATTAAATGCATTAGGTAGACTTGCTCTTGGCTGACAGATGCGCAGCCGGTTATCATCTGTTGTTACCTTGCCTGTACCTGAAGCCTTTGCCGTTAGATTGGATCCCTCCCTGACTAGAGTCTGAAAATATTTGGGTGCGGGGTTAGCACACCCTCCTGTTCTACACCGCCCTGGTCTCACTGGCCCTTCTACGAACGCTGTTCCTTTACCTTTGCTTACCAGGATTATTCCCCTTCTTGGAATGCCCTATTTACACACGCACACGCACACGCACACACACGTAGAGCCTGCCACATGTTTGTGGATAAGATCACAAGTTTAGAACTAGAAAGAACCCCTTATTTTATTTTATTTTATTTTTATTTACTTATTTATTCATTCATTTATTCATTTATTCATCTATTTATCTATCTGTTAGTTCATTTGTTTGCTCATTCGTTCATTTGTTTATTTGTTTATTTATTTATTTATTTGTTTTTAGGCAACTGGGGTTAAGTAACTTGCCCAGGGTCACACAGCTAGTAAGTGTTAAGTGTTTGGTCTGAGGCCAGATTTGAACTCAGGTCCTCCTTTCTTCAGGGCCAGTGCTTTATCCACTGTGCCACCTAGGTGCCCCTAGAACCCCTCATTTTAGAGGTGAGGAAACCAAGACCTGGAGAGGAGGGGGCATTTGCCCATGGTCCCACAGCTAGTGAATGACAAGCCCAGAATTTCAGCAGTCTGGAGTTATTTTGTATCACATGAACGTTGGTGACTTCCAACTCCTCGTGGGGCCCTGGTGGTGGGTGAGAAGGAGGGAAGGAGCTCTTCTTCCTCATCCCTAAGTCTAATGTGCCCCCCCTCTCTCATCCGCTCCAGGACATTTCTCCTGCAGTCTCGGCCCCGGCTCCTTCTGCCTGTGCAAAGCTTCGTGTGCCTTGCCGCCTTCGGCCTGGCCCTGCCTCTCGCCATCAGTCTCTTTCCACAGATGTCAGAGGTCAGTAATGGGGAGGGTGAGGAAACGGCATGAAGGAAGGGCCCCACTTTAACTGGGGCGGGGGTTGGCTGTTACTCTAATTCCTGTTATCAAGTGTTCCCTCCTGCCCACGTGGCGTGGACCTGGATGGGGTCTCCCACGAGTGAGAAGAGAGGTCGTGCTGAAGAGCTGACAAGTGTCCCAAGATCTAGAGACTGGGCTAGGCCAAGTCAGGGCCTGAAACCCACTCCAGTGGGTTCAGTGAAGTGGGAGTTGGGAATCATTCCTCTTTGGCCTGGGGCTCTTAACCTGGGGTCTGAGAACTGTGTGTGTGTGTATGTACACATAAACACATACATACATGTATATGCATATACACACATGCATACATATATGTATGTGTATATACATACATATATACTATATATGTATAAACACAACAATATTTCACTATGCATTTTGTTTCATGCATTGGTAAAACATTCTTCTGAGAAGGGGTCAGTAGGCTACACCAGGCTGCCCAAGAGGTCCAGGAGTCCTTCCTTAGGCAGAGGACTAATTCATCTCTCAAGTGGGCCTGAAGCTCCATGCCCTTCTTACGTTCTATTCCAATGGAGTGTAAGCTTCTTGCGGGCAGAGGCGGTCACATTTTTGTCTGTGTTCCCAGTGCCTAGTGTATGTCACGCACCATCTGTGCTTATGGAATGAAATTGGACTGAAATCCCTGAACTGAAGTTGTTGATCTGGAAGCTGCCTTAGAGATGTCTTATTCAGGGAGGTCCAAGCGTCGTAACAACTAGGCACGTGATGGGAGACCCTTGAGTACACTGGGAATGTGCACCATGAAGGTCGTTATAGAATTTATTCCAGGACCATCCATTACCAGGACTAATTGCTCTAAGCCTGCTCAGCAGGATAGCTGGGGGTGGGCAGGCACACCTGCTGTAGTCGAGGCCCCTGCTGGTCCATGGGTGCTGGCTACCTCGACACCACAAGAGAGCCAGGATTCTTCAACTGTGGGGGCTCCCTCCACCAGTGAAATTTGCAAGGCATCAGTAAATGGTCTTTGTGAATTAGCTGGAAAATTCACCATGGCTCTGCCAAGCCACCGCGGAGCCCTTTGGAACTTGTGGGGGATGGTCCTTGGGTGACAAGCACAGGGAGAGGCAGCTTTGGTTTGGATGAGAGGGTAGCAGAGTTAGACCCTCTGCAGGACAGCCTGGATCTGCTTCTGAGCTGTGGCTAGTCCCTTTCCCTCTCTTGAGCCTCAGTTTCCTCTTCAGCAACATGATGTTCTCCAAGGTCCTTTCCAGCTCCAATCTCTGAACGAGGAAGTCTTTTCACCAGACTATTCTGGAAGCTTCTTCCAGAGCTGGCAAAGCTGCCAGAGCTTATGCTCAGTTGGCAGAGATTTCAAGATCCCAGGGTTACCTCCATGCTACGATGAGGCTTTCATGGAGGGATGTATGTTTGCTAGCTAATTAAGTAAAAACTTTTTTTGCTGGAAAGCTCGGAAGGCCTCAACCTGGGGGAGCACCGTTTGGCCCCTGCACTGCACATGAGATTCTCTTGTCATTGTTGTTGTTCAAGCGTGGTTGCAATCACGTCTGCCTCTTCGTGACCCCATGCATGTGATTGATGGGATCTAATCTAACCCACTCATTTTACAGAGAGGGAAACAGAGGCCCAGAGAGCATTTCTGTCCAATAGATTGCAGAATCCACAACCTCCCCCTTCCAAAGGGTCTGGAATAACAGAACTTTCATCCCCATTTTCTATCAATTTGTCCAAAGTTATATGACTAGCCAGGAGCAGAGTCAAGTGATTTAGGCCCCAAGTTTCTTAACTCCCAGTCTAGGGTTCGAAACCAGAGAATTTCAGTGGAAAAGTGGTCACCTAGTCCATCCTCCACTGAAAGAATCCCTACTAACATCCCCAGCCTCTGCTTAAGGCCTAGACATAAGTGACAGGGAGCTCACCACTGCCAAAACACTACTCCACCTTTGGACAACTCTCATTGTTAGGAAAGGCAGCTAGGTGGCGCTGCAGTGGATAGAGCACCAGGCTTGGAGTCAGGAAGACCTGAGTTCAAATACTAGCTATTTGACCCTGGGCAAGTCACTTAACCCTGTTTGCCTCAGTTTCCTCATCCGTAAAATGAGCTGGAGAAGGAAAAGGCAAACCACTCTGTTCCTTTGCCAAGAAAACCCCAAATAGGGTCACAAAGAGCCAGACACAACTGAAATGACTGAACAACAATTGTTAGGAGGTTTTCCTCAATATTAAGCCTAACTTGGCTTCTTTGCAATTCCCCCATCTACTCAGCCACCGCTGCTCCTTGTTATGACCTTTGGGACCAAATAAGACAAGTTTGATTTCTCTTTCACACGTCAGCCTTTCAAGTCCTTGAAGACGGCTAGCACGTCTCCCCTGAGCCTTCTCCAGTCTAAATGAAGCCAGTTCTTTCCCCTGGTCCTGGTATGCCATGGACTCCCAGCCCATTACTGCCCTGCCAGCCCTCCTCTGCTCTCCAGCTTACCAGTGCCCCATCTCAGTACATCAGACGAGATCTAACCAGGGCAGAGGATGGCAGGACAATCACCTCCCTGCCTCTGCAGCCCAATATTGTGTTACCTCTGATGGGCCGTTGTTGACTTAGATTGCGTTTGGAATCCACTAGCATCCCTAGGTCACTTTTAGACAGGCTGCTCTCCTAACCCTGCTTCCCCCATCTTGTACATGTGAAGTTGATTTTTTTTTAATCCAAGTGAAAGGCTTCACATTCGTACCTACTGAATGTCCTCTTTTTAGACTGAGCTCAGTGTGCTGGCCCGTCAAGATCTTTTTTGTGATTCCTGATGCTGCCATCCATGTTCCAGCTGTCTCTTTTACCTCTGTGTCATCTGGATGGTTCAGCTTCTTGTTCTGAGCCAATGGTTCTCCCTCCTCATTCTCTTTACCTTTTCTCTTTATCCATTCTTCTTACCCTTTATATAAGGACTCACCATTCCCGGGACTGGGAAAGGCCGCACTTAAGAGCTAGCTGGGGTCAGGGAGGGGATAGGTGGGGGATTCCTTTACATTTTGTTGCAGTAACCTGAAGAGGCAACCATCATGTGAATGTCCTCACACTCCCTCATCCTTCTCCCAAGTCCCACAGTCTAAAGCAGAGAGCTTAGACTCTAGCTGCTAGAGGGAAGTCTCCTGTTCACAGGTGATTGAAATGTAAGCTCTTGGGATTTAGAGCTGAGAGGGACCTAGGAGATCACCTAGTCTTGTCCCCCATGATTTTACAGCTAAAGAGGTTGGGGAAGGGACTTGTCCAAGGTCACAAAGTGCTAACTAACAGAACCAGGCCAATTCCAACTTCAAATCATACACTTTTAGACGAGACCACAATATAAACTCATCCAATGTTATCTTTTCATCTCCTCCATTGCTGTAGAATAAGGTAATGAAACTCATCTCCTAAAGGGAAGGGTCAATGTGGGGCAGTCCCTCCATCCCTTTGCCAGTCCTCCTCCCCCCAGTCTGGAAGTTATTCCATGAGTCTAACTGAGGTTCCTTGTGCTGCTCCTCAGAGCCCTCACCTCTTGTCCCAGCTTCAATGGAAGAAGAGAGCAAGGTGCTCCCTCTCAAAGGATCATCACCCTTCCTTGAGCAGGGAGTCACTTGTAGAGAACCCCTAGGTTAAGCTGGTTCCCAGGCTTAACTGTCTCTGAGCGGGATCTTAGGACTGTCTGCAATACATGGCACCATAGCTACCAGCCAGTCATCTGGAGGGACTGTCTTTTCCCTCATGCTCGTCACACTAATTAATTCTCTCTAACAAGGTGGTTCCCTTGCCATCTGGGCTGAGCCATGGGGATTGTGTGTCATGTCCCAGAAGTGGGTGGGATCTGTCACAATGAGTCTGGGCTTGCTGGGGATGACCCAACCTCACCAAAAGTTACAGAGGTCATCACCGGGAACACAAGCCACATCATTAATAATTCATCATCAGTTAATTAAACAGGCCCTGGGGTAGGGATTGGAAACCAACCATTGGAGCTGCTGTCCTCACCAAATGATTGTTCTGGGGGGTCCCAGACCTCACCCCATACACATACATCCCATTTGGGAAAAGGGATAGGGTCCCAATCCTTCCCCTGGAAGCACTTGTGAGCCTGCTTTTTTCACAAGATGTTTCTCCAGGACCTATAAGAATAATACCAGCAGTGGTGGCATGATCCTACTTTCCTCTGCCCCTGAATAATTACCCACAGCCATCCAGTCCTCTTGTACAAGAGGAAGTCCTCGCTGCTATCTAACCTAAATCCTTTCTGCTGTACTTGGTGGCCATTTTCATTGGTCTTGGCTTGTATGGAGCTGCATTTGAGCTCAGCACAATGACCTTCAGATGGTCAAAGACCAAGATCATGGATTTGTCCCTTTCTCTCCTTTTAGCCCCCATTATACTTCATTATCTGAGAATTCAAATACAAGTCAGGCCCCAGATTCTAGTCTGATTCCCACTGTCCCCACCCTAGTTCAGGACTAAATTACTACCATAGCCTCCTCCTTTCTGGCTTCCAGTCTCTTTCCCCTTCGGTCCATTCCACCCAATGCCACAAAATTAATCTTCCTAAAATACCAAGGTCATCCACTGCATCTTGAGCCATTACCAGTCATCTTGACTCTGTCCTGCCACTGGACTATGAAGACTCTGGAAGAGAGAGTGAGGTCAGCAACTTTGGCTTGCCTCACTTAAATCCAATTGATATATGCATTAAAAGGCATCACCCATGCTCAGTGATGTCATTTTGGTCCTCTTTGAGAATGAAGCCCTACGGCCAACTGACAGACTAAAGTAAAATATTCACATCCCTTACCTAGCATTGAAAACCTCTCACTACCTCGGCAATCTTCTCTCCTGCTGTTCCCCAATATCAGCCTCCACTACCTTTTTTATTTTAACTTCTAATGACCAAAGAACAATCTTGTGTGTCCAGACTGCTTCTCCTTGGTATATGACGGCTCCC